AGAAATTGTAATTTAAAAATTAAAAAAAATTCACTAAAAATGATTTGTCCCATTTCTACTGACTCCCCCCATATATTCAACTCTAAATTCAGGAATTATAAATTTCAAATAGCATGTTTTGTAAAAAATCGATCAGCAACTATTATTCAGTGAACATATCGTTTATAGCAAAAGCAAATTAATTCAGCTAAAATAATCCAACATGCTGTAATTAAATGGCTTTATAGACCTGGTGGGTCATTTATAAAGTATGCCAAAGATCAATATTATCTAAATGCTATTAAACTTGAAAATTAAGGATGTATTCTGTCTTTGCATATCACTTTTTTGGAGATATATATTACCATTAAGAGAATCATATGATAGTGATCTCTAAGGACTCAATATCAAGTGATACTTTACGGTATATATTGTTGTTTGCTGGGATATAACCCTGAAATTAGACCACAACTGAGATGATTTGTTTGTTCATAAACTTTTAAAGCACCTCAGCTAAATACTTGTTTTTTGCCTTTGAGCAAGTATTAGTAGTGCGCTATGCATTATTATGGCTGGTTCTTTTAATTGCCAGAAGTGCACATAGAGCACCTTCAAGAATTGCGGCTAATCCCTTTTGTTTGATGAGACAATGGCGCTTCTCAAAAGTTATTCTTCAGCTGCAATTATTAGCCGCAATTATTAATCACAATTCCTTTGCGCATACCTTAATGCTTAATTAGGCGCCTGCCAATTATCTGCACACGCTCTCAGATAACTGCTTTTCATATTCTATGTGGTATCCAATTCAGATTTTGTGCCAAATCTGTTCTGAGCTGTATGAGGCGTGGGCGCTGAATCTTCAGGTATGGGTAAGATTTTTCCGGGACAGCGCCGTCTCAGAAATTTCGGTCAATTGATTGCTGTTGTTATAATTTACTTTTTCTTGGCACTACAAAAACCTGTTAACCAAGTTAACAGTTTTATATCACATGATGGATTATCAATATCGCCCTTCATGTGTCAATTCTGGCGCAAAATTATAGCTGAATTTGAGGCGAAATCGAAAAACTGATACAGTAAGTAACAGGTTTCCCAAAAATACACCAATATTTGGGCGTGAACAGAAAACACTAAGCATATAAAGAAATTAAGCGCCACAAAATATCGC